AGGTTCTTATGATCGAGGCGACGGTGAAGCAACTTAAGTTTGGCTGAACTCATTGCCCAGCCTCCCTCATAGTCATACCATGGACAAGGACATGGTCAACTAGTGGCACGAATTTCATCTGAGACTCCTTGTCTCCTTGCCCCTCATCCTCCTCCTCTTCCTCCACTCCTTACTGCTCTTGCTCATCCTCCTCCTCTTCCTCCTCCTCCTCCTCTTCCTCCACTCCTTACTGCTCTTGCTCATCCTCCTCCTCTTCCTCCTCCTCCTCCTCTTCCTCCACTCCTTACTGCTCTTGCTCATCCTCTTCCTCCTCCTCCTCCTCCTCTCTGGTGTCCTCGACCTTTTCAATCACATCTCTCTGGATCCATTGTTCCAAAACTGAATGAACTAACTTGGGCTCTTTTATCTATCTATTGAAGGTTCTGACTGGTGTGTGATAAATTTTGACTCTTAGTGTTTCCACGTGGGTAACTGTGTGCTAATTGAGCTCAAGCTATGCTGACTTGAGTGAACAGTATTGAATGCTAGTACTTTCTAAATGACCACATGGTGTAAGCACTGAGAAATGAAGGGATTTGTGTGTAGAGTTTTGCAGTAACAGTTCACCAAATCTGATTCATGTGTCAAAAAGGGGAATAGTGTTTATAGTTTAGGGTAATGGGTGTGCTTTTTGATAAATGGCATTATGGTTTTGAAATTTTAGTTCAAAAGCCTGGGGATAGTGTTTAAGCAATCGAGAAAAACTGTAATTATGCTGCATTTCATACTTTCAGGTGAAGCTGTTTATTAATGTGAAAATACTATCTGAAGATACTGAACAGAGACTGACCTGGGTCTTTCTATTGATTCACAGATGAATGTTGATATCATTATTTGTTCATGCGGAAGCAATTCTTCAGAATATTAAATATCAGTATCCATGTTCAGCATCCCATTGTGTAAGTTTTCATATCATAAACCTGTCATAAAATGATTGTTTTTAAATGTTCGATTTTCATTGACTGCTTACACAATGAATGTGGTGTGTAATTCAGTCAACATGAATGAAGTTCATTCAACTTTGATGTGTTGGGTTATTAAATCATACATTATGTTGTTGCTTTTGCTTGGGTTGAAGACAGATTTAGCATGCAAAGCAAACTGTTGCTGGCTAGTAGTTAGCCAGCCCATAGAAACTAATGAGATCACAAAATTAGGAAATTAATCATGTTGGGGATGTGATCCCCCCCATTTTACACAAGTCTGTAAAAAGATGTTTATTTGAATTTGTCTGCACTCAAAAATTGTTCGGATACTGCAATCACACAATTTCAAAACAAAGCAATGTGCAATTTCAGACAGGTGTAGTTTTAATCCATAATAAAGAATGCTTTTACAAATTTAGTTGTTTTGTAGGTAAAAAAAAAAAAACATCAGTGAAAGACAACAAACAGCATATTACACAATGTGCAGTTTTGTTGTTAATGCAAACATCTTCAAAAATAACACAAAGAACTGTGCAAATGATCGCGAACCATGCATTCCCTGAAACAATTGTAAAGTGCATTATGTAACAAGGAACAACCATGGAAATGCCAAAAGGTGATAATCACATAGCATATTTTAGACACACATAGCTGCAAATAGATAGGAAAGAATTAGATTAAATACATTTCTTAATACTTTGCATAATTTACTCCAAGACCAGGATTGTAAAACACTGGTTTAACGTGCATAATACAATCAAGATGGGGGTCACACCAGCAGGGCAAGCTGGTTGGAGGTTCTTTTCAGCTCATTTTAAAGGAGAAATGCTGAAATATTTATGGCACAACCAGACAATAGCCATGGTTTGCACACAGCTGGTGCTACTCGCAATAAAGGCATAAGAAAAATAAAGTTTAAATAAACCCACTTCTCATTGACACTTAACTTCAGCATCACTGCTGTACTGCATTTGCAAGTTTTTGGCTACAGAAAATATTCATACTTTCTGTACTGTTCATACTGTTATTCTACATATTTAAAGCTGAAGTACTGCAGTTTTTCTCAATTGCTTTGGCACATTTTTCGAAACAGCCTTAATCTCTAAGTGCAATGGTCACAACTGTTTGCTAAAACATCAGAACCCTATTGCATGTCTGCAAAAGGTAGTAACTCACCCAAAACACTTAATTCGTGCTTCAAAATCTAGTTATTGTGTCAGTGACTTGACCAATGCCACCAAAATAAGAAGAGTTTTTGTCATTGTGTGAGCCACAGTGGTCAAAATGTTTACGGTATTTATGAAATTATGTTTTGTTAAAACTTCAAATTCTGTTTATGGTTTTATTTTATTATCAGATTGCATTACATTGTGACAGTGCCTCTGCCATCTGTCTGTAAATGTGTGAACAAAATAGGACAGTTTTCATTAGAAAATTCCTGCAGGAAGGAAATATTATGTGGAAAATTAATGGTGAAGGGTTAGAAAAACGCAGCTCTGGTCTGATATTTACGGTGACAAGTAGGCTACATTCTACAATAAATCAATCAGATCTTCTGTTTAACTTTTTAGCAAATAATTTTTTTCCGGACGTAAATTTTAGATGTTGTCATTGAGGAATTGAGGTTTAGAATGATATATTTACACTGATGGAATACACGGCTGGAAAACGAAAGTGTAATTTCATAAAGCAGCCAGTGAGGGCATCAATGCGATGAAGAACACCTGGAAGAGAAGGAACAAACTTCCACTTTAAAAACAGCCATTTTACCATCGCTGATGAGGAATATAATGTAGCGATCTAGTATAGGCTATTTTATTAATAAAAATCGCGGAGAAGCGTTGACAACAAGTTTATGTGTGTGTGCAGCGCAATCTCTCTCTCTCTCTCTCTCCGTGTTTGTGTGTGTGTGCGCGAGCGAGTGATGTGTTGGTTAGTGTGCATCAATTAAAGCAGCGCATTAATATAGAACGGTGATTAAACTGACTTGAAACTACATGTGCATTAAACTGCATGCCTGCCAGCCAATCAGAATCCAGTATTCAGACAGACCATGGAATAAATAAATAAATATATGTGTGTGTGTGTGTGTGTGTGTATATATAGATAGATAGATAGATATAGATATATATAGCGGTGAGTGTATGAAAAGTGAAAAGTTTACCAGCACTTCTGGTAAAGATCTGGATGTAACCCCAGTGTGGCCTGGCCAAAAACCTGTCAAGAGACTGCTTTTCTTTTAAGTCTTTGAGTCTGTGTAAAACATTGTCTGGAGTGCTGTGCAGTGCCTAAGGATTCTCAATAGCATCAAGTATGTGTTGTTTAATTTTCTTTTTTTAAATAAATTGAATTTTAGAATTATTAATCATTTATGTAATTGTCGTGTGATTTATATAATTTATTGACTTTATTATTAATATTATTATTTTCTGTCATTGTATGTTTAAATATTTTAGATTACTTATTTTCTCGCTCTTTCAATTCTTGCTGTTGTTTAATCTTATACAGTAATTCTGTGGTTTAAAGGGATTTCTCTTCAGCAGTAAGCAAAAAAAAAAAGAATGTCTCTATTTTAAAGGTTTTTAACGTCACATGACAATATTGTGAAGCAGTAATTTCCCATTGCATATTTTTCTTGTGTGTGTTTTTATTATATTTATCTTGTGTCTCTATAGTGTTCCTGGCTGTACCTTAATCATGCAATCAGTGCAATTCACAGGGAACATGTATTGATCAAACTATCTACTATGCACTGTATGACTGGTAAAAGTGTCTGTCAGATGCATACTGTAAATGTGCCTTTAGACAACATGTCTTAAATGTGCAATATTACAAAATAAACAAGTCTTGAGTGAGAGTGTTTGTAATGGACATGGGAACATCTTCACTGATATCAGACACTTCTCTCAGCTCATACAGCAGCACAGTTTAGAGAGTCAGAAAATAAATAGGAAATTCAATAGATTTTGAGATTATGATGCCTAAAAATATGTAGGAAACTCACTAGGTTTTGAGATTATGAGGCCCAAAAAATGCTGTTAATATAATAAATTCAGGTTGATTTCATGCACTCAACTAACACAGCTTTGTTTAACTTTTAACCTTTTTTTTCTTTGAATATATTCTTTGAATATATTGAGATGAAATATTAACCCTGCTGTATTTGATACTCTAATGTGGAAATTAAATCTGAAAACTTTTACTTACGTTGCTTATGTACTTATGTTCACAGTTTATGCTCTTAAATAGTGTGAAAAAAACTGTGTTTGAAGAGAGTTTAAAATGAGAATGCTGTTAACGACGAATTTAAATAGTTTTAGGTCAGGACTTTTCCTGAAGGAGCTCAGAAATGAAAGTGAAAGTGTGAATTCATAAATCCTCCAGTGAGGAGCAGCAAAGCACTCAATGCAACCCGGAAGAGACGAGCTTTTCCGTTCAGGGAGCTTTTCCAAAATATAAATGGAAAAGGCTCTAGTTTTTAAACACTTTCATTGTAGCATGTTTTTGTGTTTTGTGTTTATTATTTTATTGTTTCACTATTTTCTTGGCGATGCGCTGCAAGGTAAGAACACAGTTATTTTACTTTTCAGAAAATGGCGACCTACAAACTGCAGTCCCTAGCAAACATACTAGTTTAATACTATTATAAAATCGCATGTAAAATACAATTTTACAGTATTCCTTATAGTGGAGTTTGAGATCAGGTCTTAAATCAGTTTTATCCACATTTTGTCAAGTTTGTCATTGCACGTGTTTTATACTGTCTGTTCCTCAGAGAAACATCACCTGCACTTCAAGTTCACAGCCCTTTCTAAAGCAAACACACTCCCAGAGTTCAGTGCTGAGGCTGTTGCTGACAGCAGACGGATCTTTCACTACAATAATAAAGAGAAATCCTGGGTAAGAGAGAGTCTGACTGAAGATGACTCTGAAGCTCCTGTAAAACCACCTGAGTCTAGAGACTGGTTCATGCATCAGTTAAAGACTCTATCAAACTGTGCAGACTCAGAGTGTTCTGGTGAGTTTCACGCTTTACTCATTAGTTATATCAGACATGTTGTGAAACTGCATATTCCTGCATAAAACATTCATTTGTTTATTTATTTGAGACTTTTGCACAGTACTGTATACAGTGTATATTGTCATGAGTGTTGTTCTGTGATTGCAGAGCTCCATGTTCTTCAGAGAATAACTGGCTGTGAACTGGAGAAACTTCCTGATGGACCAGTGAATCTGACAGTATTTGACGAATATGGATTGGATGGAGAGGATTTTATTGCCTTTAATTCTGATGCTCTGCAGTGGATTGATAAAAACCCCAAAGCTAAAGAAACCAAAATGAAATGGGACCGTCAAACAGAACGCAACCAACTCCTGCAGCATTACCTCCAGACCTGCATGAACTGGATCTCCACATTTAACAACAACAGAAAGAGTACATTCTAATCAAATCACTTTAATTAGCTGTAACACGTCTTTGTGAGCGTGAAATAAGTTCAAGAGGTTGTCTAATTCTCTCATTGTACAGAGATGTAGATTTATCACCATTTAGTAAAAGAGTTGAAAATCATAATTTTGAATTATCCTTACTTTGTGTTTGATATAACTTTCTGGGTTTGTATCTGAAATTATTATTTTTTTCACACAGAACCAAATTATTTGTAAATGTTTATTTGTTAATTGCATTATTTATTTATTTTTCTGCTCAGCTCCACCGGATGTTCGTGTCTTTGCAGTGAAAGCTCCTGGTGATCAACACAAGCTGCTTCTGAGCTGTCTGGCCACTGGTTTCTACCCCAGAGATATTGAGATGTACATTAGATTGTACAGAATTAAAATTAAGGACCAAACATTATCTGGAATCAGACCAAATGCTGATGGATCCTTTCAGCTCAGATCCAGTGTGGAGATCGACAGAAACCACAAGGAGTTTTATGACTGTTTTGTCATTCACAGCAGCCTGACAGAACCAGCTTCAGTAGAATGGGGTAAATATCACCAGAAACTAATCTTTGATTGAATGTGTGAAAAATGGCTTTTATACACTCTGTGTGAATAACAGATGAAACTCAGTACAAGTCACTTGCTGGTCACACACAATTACAGCTGCATTACAAATGCATTTTCAATATTTGTATTTTTATTTATTTTTTGCAGCTGGAAATGGTGCTGACTGTGAAACAGAATCTCAGTGGGCTTTAAAAGCAGTATTAATAACAGTTTCAATTCTAGTTCTCGTTGTGATCTGTTACTGCATCTACCAAAGGAAACGGTTAAATGGTGAGTTATAAATATTCAACACTTTTGCTTTTTAATGTTTAGTTTTTAAATAGCATTGTTTTAAAGACCTTTTTTAAAAAAAGTATGATGTTATATTTTATTGGATGATCACGAACTGCAGTGAGTTATAAATATTCAACACTTTTGCTTTTTAATGTTTAGTTTTTAAATAGCATTGTTTTAAAGACCTTTTTAAAAAAAAGTATGATGTTATATTTTATTGGATGATCACGAACTGCAAGGAACACAGCAAATGAGAACTGCAAAATTGCTGTATATATTCAAGCTAAAGCTTTTATATAATCTACTGTATTTTTTTCTAGGTCAGTCGAGAGGTTATGGTGATCAAACTGGAAGAGAGATGAGAACCGAGCGTTGTCCTTCACACAAAGGTAGGGCTGCCCCCTTAATAGTCAACTTAACATGAGTCGACGAGAAGAAGCTAGAGTAAAGGCTAGTCGACTAAAATGTTTAGTCTGTTAATTACAGAAAAAATTGCATTGAGTGAAAATAGCCTTATTGGGACAATAAAGCCCTCCCTAAACCTACCCAATAAACACCGATGAGGCACTTTATTTTAAACTTTTCAATTTTTTGCCTTTTCTATGTGATATGTAATGTGAAAAGGGTGAAGAATGAGATCGGCAAAAGACGAAAAGGCAAAAAAAGCATGTCTGTGGGGAACAGATCGATCCAACCACTTGACTATATTGGGAACAAATATGACTTAATCATTTAAACATATTTAAAGGGTTAGTTCACCCCAAAATTGAAATTCTGTCATTAATTACTCACCCTCGTGTCGTTCCAAACCCGTAAGACCTTCGTTCATCTTCGGAACACAAATTAAGATATTTTTGATGAATTCTGAGAGCTCTCTGACCTTCCCATACAGCAATGTAATTAACATGATCAACACACAGAAACGGTAAACTAGTCCATGTGACATCAGGGGTTCAACCGTAATTTGAGAATACTTTTTGTGTGCAAAGAAAACAAAGCAGGGTCAGTTCTATCCTTTCTTATTATCTGCTTTGTTTTTTCTAGGTCAAATGAGCAGTTATGATGATGAAAATGGAGGGCAGATGAGACTTCACTCTGATAGAGGAGAGATGTCCAGTCCTGAAAGTAAAAGAAGAGAATGCTATAATAAGAACGGATCATCTCCACGCGCAGATATCTCCATATCTCCGAGATGCGAACAGCTTGTGTTTTGTAGGTCCTGATTAGAAATTATGTTTGGCATGTAATATTTGCTATTTATGTGACAGTATTGTTCTCTGTGGTAGTTTCAGGGAAATGAAAATGGTGAAATAGCAAATGACAAGTTTATGTTAAGTATTTTGCACTGACATGCAGTGCAAAATACTTTGCAGTGGACCATTTTTACATTTCACTTTTGTATTTTCATTTGCTCCAGCAGCAAAAGTCATAATCCAAGATAGCATTTATTGACTTTCTTAATTGATTACTATCAGAAGAGAAAGATGTCAAATTTGCATCATTTTCTCAGCTGTTGCATTAGATAAGCTCATAAAACAGTGTGTACTATTGTGTACATTGGATTTTTTTAAATGTTTATTTTAAAAAACTTGAGGTTTATTGATGTTTTGATGTTTACAGTGTTACTGATTGTGAAACAAATCATCACAGTTTGTGAAAAGGAGTTGTGAAAACAACAATTGCACTGTATTTTGTGTTGCTGCTTATATTGTTAAACGAAGTGTATTTCACCAATATTACATTTTTTAGAATAGCTTTGTTATTGTTACTTGAATGAAATGTGTTTCCAATAAATATAGATATATCTTTTAGCCACGTTTAAAAAAATGTTTTCCCAAAATTGCAAACCAGATATTTTTTCCCTGTAATTTTAGAACGCTTTGTAAACATGTTTTAAAAAAAATCCAATATGTACATTTTTTACTTGAATATTAAAAAATTCTGATTTTCTATGTTTTTGAACTGCAATGAAGAGTTTGGGAGCCAAATGCGAAAAAGCTCTACCTCCTACCTACCTCAAAAGGTCTTTATAATCGAAAAACTCTTTAGATTATTAAAATGTTAAAATGATTATTAAAATAAAATATGTTTAGTCACTGAAAGGTTTTTTGGTGGAACCAAAAAGTGTTCTTTCTATAGCAACACTGTGAAAACTTTTTTGGAACCTACAGTAAATTAAATTTAATCTTTTTCAGATTTAAGTATTTTATTGTCTACACTAAATCAAATGATCTGTCTCCGGTTATCTAAAAAAATATTTTTTTTATTTTTTATATGGATGATCATCCTGTGCTTCATAGTTGGAAGCATTCAGGGTTGACTGTTCCGCGTTTTTTAGTCGAATTGGGCTACTTTTAAAATCCTGCCAAAAAAGAATAAAAACAACAACAAAAAACAGTGATAGTATGATGAGTTTTGTGAGGGATGGGAAATGAAAGCAGACTGTAAAATTGTGAATAACGCGTAACAGTGACGCAAGTATGTTGGTATGGGAGTGGCATGTTTTGATTGGCCTTTGGGCTAGTTTTGTAATGCAGACCTGGCAACCCTGGGAGGCAACATCAACTGATTTTACCTCTGTGTGTGTGTGTGTGTGTGTGTGTGTACTGGTTTATATATTCTGGTGGGGACTTAAACCTGACTACACACAGACTCATGGGGACTCGTGTCACGGTGGGGACCTAAATTGTGGTCCCCACGGGTACAAAAGCTTATAAATCGTACAGACGTTTTTTGAAAAGCTAAAAATGCAGAAAGTTTCCTGTGAGGGGTAGGTTTAGGGCTAGGGTGTGTGTGTAGCCTGTGACTGTTCATCGGTACCTGTCCTGGTCACCTGGACGAAGTTGAAAGATGATTGAAATATGAATTAAAAAATGTTTAATAGGTTCTAGTTTAAAACATGTTTTATAAAGAAATAGGAATGGGTTTGTTTTTATTGTTATATCATTTTAAAAGCCTGGTGCAGTGAAAAAAAAAAAGGCTTTAAAGCGTTACACCGCGAGAAACAGCGTTATGAATCCAACAAAGTTCAAGAGTCTATAAAAAACATTATGATGCCAAAGTGAAAGCATATTTTCTTAGCGATAGATGCTATTTACACTAAGTGACAACAAAAGTATTTTCTTAGCGATATGCTGTTTACACTAAGTGAAAATAGGGATGTTCTATTTTTTATTACGTAAAAGTTGCAGCCTATTTTCTTTGCAATAAGTGTAAGTAGCTAGATACTATTTATACTTAAGCAGTGGCAGGTAGCTATTTGCACCTCAGTATTGTTGTAGATTAACAGGATGCAATAGTAGCGTGTAAATGATTCTAATGATTAAATAGATGTCGCCTTATTGCTATAAAGCCCTTCCTGCACCTACCACTAACACCAATATACCTCATTATTAAACATGTTATGCATATTAGTTCCACTTTTCGAATACTTTCTTAATTGAAAGCAAATGCCTTTCTGATCTGATGTGTGATAAAGTTTGAAGAGCAAGTTCGGCAAAAGGCCTACTTGTATGCATCAACAGCTACCCCACTGTACGACTGTTGTATGCGGCATCGTTTTTGATTTTGTGTGGCTGAATCAGACATTGCCATTAAAAAGACGAAGCGCCGTATTTATTAAAGAGGAGAACAGAAATATGGTCATTCTAAGCAATTTAAGAAATCATGGTTGGATGCTTTTTTATATAGTCATCACATACATTATATCAGGACTTTTTGTTTGGACAAAACATGTTGTGTGCATGTTTGTTTTCATAGTTTTTTGTGTTTTCAGTGAAACATTACCTGCACTACAGGTTTACAGCCCAGACTAAAGCAGACACACTCCCAGAGTTCAGTGCTGTGGTTGTGGTTGATGACAAACAGATCAAACACTACAGTAATGAAAAACGAGTCTGGATTGTGACTGAACATGACTGGACTGAAGCTCCTGAGGAACCACCTGATTCTAGAGACTGGTTCATTCATCAGACCAGGACTCTGTCAAACTGCGCATACTCAGAGTGTTCTGGTGAGTTTAATGGTTTCTCTTGTTAATTAATTATCACACACTTTATGAAACTGCATATATTCATCTACAAATGTATACATAATGGAGAGAGTAAATTGTTCATACTGGAGATTTCCATGAACTCATAAGTTCCTCATAAATGTTGTTCTGTGATTGCAGAGCTCCATGTTCTTCAGAGAATAATTGGCTGTGAACTTAATACATTTCTTAATGGAACAATGACAAATCTGACTGCCTTTGACAAATATGGATTTGATGGAGAGGATTTTATGGACTTTAGTTCTGATGCTCTGCAGTGGATTGATAAAAACCCCAAAGCTAAAGAAACCAAAATGAAATGGGATCAGCAAACAGAACGCAATGAACTCCTGCAGCATTACCTCCAGACCTGCATGAACTGGATCTCCACATTTAATAACACACAAAAGAGTAAGTTCTAATTGCATAATTTTAATTAAAGTGCCCTTATTATGCTTATTTACAGGTTCATAATCTTGTTTATGGGGTCTACTAGAACATGTTTACATCATTTAATGTTAAAAAAATGGATTTAGTGGATGCTGTGTGTCTGTTTGTCCTCTCCATGTGCAGCCTTATCTTTTATTCACCTTCATGTTGTTGACTTTATTTTTTCTGTGCAACATGAAGATAAATAATGTTTTTCACAACACATAGAACCAAATTATTTTGAAATATTACTTTGTTTTTTTCATTATGACTTTATGCTTTCTTTTCCAGCTCCACCAGATGTTTGTGTCTTTGCAGTGGAAGCTCTTGATGATCAAGGCAAGCTGGTTCTGAGCTGTCTGGCCACTGGTTTCTACCCCAGAGATATTGAGATGAACATCAGATTGGACAGAATTAACACTGAAAACAAAACATTATCTGCAGTCAGACCAAAGGCTGATGGATCCTTTCAGCTGAGAACCAGTGTGAAGATCGACAGAAACCACAAAGGATCTTATGACTGTCTGGTCAATCACAGCAGTCTGACAGAACCAGCTTCAACAAACTGGGGTAAAATCCCAATTCAGTCTTGTGTGAATGTGTGCAGAATGGCCTTTATACAGCAACACTGCTTCTGCGTGCATTTATACATGCAATACAATTTTTGTATTGCATGTATAAAATATGAAACAAATAATACTAGTCAATGCTGTTAATATTGCTTGCCACAAATAAATACAGTTAAAGTGCCTCAGCTCATGCCAACATGTTCAATGCATTTATACAGTTTTTTCCCCTTTATTCTGCAGGTGGAACATGTTTTGACAGTGAAACTCTATGGCCTGTTATCGTAGGAGTAGTAGTAGCTGTAGTTGCAGTTCTAGTGTCAGCTTGTTGGCTTTGTGTAAACTATCCAACGGTGAGTTCTAAATATTCAACATTATCATTGTGTTCAAATATCCTTGTTTGAAAGACATTTTAAAGTGAACGAATCATAGATGGACCTATTGACCGCATATGAAATATGTGAACTGATTTTTGAAGTTAAAATTGTATGATGTTTTCAATGTTTAAAATTTACTCTGTAGTTCAATGTGTGATACATTATTATAAGATTATATGCATTAACGTACTGAATTCTACATTTACTAAAACAAGATATCTGTATCAAGCTGAAGTGTTTATAAACGTCTGCTGTATCTTCTGTGGGGTTTTTTTAGGTTATAGGTACTGCTATTGTAGCATCATCGAATGCAAGTTTATACATCCTTAACTATGTTGATGAACAAAACGAACTGTGATTGGTCTGTTGAATATTAAGAGAGGAGTCGCACTACTGAGTGTGGTTTCTACTCCGGTTCCACTCCGGGTTTTCTGAATAGCAAACCTGTCACCATTTCAAAGTTGTCATTTTGAATCCAACATAAGTCATTTGTGTGATACAGCTTTTTACAGTAGGCTGTCAGTAGTACCAACTCAATTCTGTAGCCGCTGAAAGACGACTGCTTTCAAACGCTCCTGTGTATATTTGTGTGTGCGCTCTGGTTTCTAATAACAAAGGCAAAGGTTTAAATTGACAGTGAGTTTTTTGCATATTGTAGTTTTGAGTATTGTAGCCAACCACAGAGATTTCTGTTGAATTCAGTGGCCTAGAGATGTACTTGCTAAATTATAATTGACTGAAATGCTGAATTGAAATATTTTGCATTCTACTAATGTATTGTGAGATTATGAGTTTCATAAAAGAGAGGGACCTTTGTGTACCTTTATGAAAACAGAGTGTTTATGATTACTAGGCTACTAGTGGTTTTCAAGCTGAAATTGTGTATAGCACAATTTCAGTAACTGTAAAATGTGTGTTTTAGGTATGGAAGTGGCATATGTTGAGTTTTGACATTTGGATGGGGTCATTGGGCTTGTTTTGAGCTATATGTGGCCTTTGGGCCAAGACCTGGCAACCCTGTGTCCAGGCATGAGTTTTGGGCCATATTTCATTTTTAATGGTCTTAACATTCCAACAATAGAAGGCAACAAATTGTGGTGTTAAGTATTTATGTAAATTAATTTGTTACTGTACTTTCTGGTTACTTTATTAATTATACTGCATATCAAAGATGTTAGAAATTTTTACGCTGTACTCCAATATATTTGTGATGAGCAATGCAATTACTTCTTACATTTTGCATTGCACCCAAATTTTTCTGCCACACATGAAGTTATATCGCCATCTACAGGGCATTGAATGTACTATATGTTGTACTTTTGCCCTGTCTCACCTAAACCGGACCAAACCTGGCGACTTTACGCAAATGCGAGTGCATTAGCTGATAGTTGTGAACCGCAGGTGTTTTATATATGAGATGAAGACATGGGTGCATGAGGCCGAAACCAGCACGTCCAATGCAAGTAAGAATATTTCATTTTACTTTATATATATATATATATATTAAAGAGACCTTTTTGAAAGAGAGTGGTAATGGGGGCTTGTGATTTTTTTTTTTGAGAGGATATTATGTTGTAATATTGTTCTATTATTTTTAAATGTCTTACTGCTACCTTGGCCAAGTCTCCCTTGTAAAATAGAGATTTTAATCTCAATGAGACTTCCTGGTAAAATAAAGGTAAATAAATAAAAAGTATGAATGTTTGTAGATGTTTAAGAGGTTGCTGTGTCAAACTTGATTTACTGTAATTTTGAGGTGTTCAGTTTCATTTTGATTTTAGAAAATAAATGTGATTGCAAATCAACTTTCTTTGTTTTTTTACTGGCATGTCTCTTCGGTGTTGAGGACTAGTGCATCTTTGAGCCTATAAGAACGAGAAATCAAGTTTTTAGGTTTTTTTTTAGTTTAGATGCTGAATCCGCACTGCTAAAAAATTCACAGACATGTGATAAAGCAACATTTCTGTTGTTTTACCTTCTTGTGATCTCTTAAATTTATGAAATCTATTCTATTCTATATTAGTTCTGACTGTAACCAGCAGAGGGCAGCATGAACCTGTGTGTCTGAGAGTCCAGGGGTCTCATTTATCAAATATTGCGCAGAAACCATCCTAAATTTGATCTTACGATCATCTCTCAGATATGCGTACGTGCGATTCAAAGAATTCGTACAGAAAACGCGCGTACGCCTCTCTTTCAGATGTGAAATCTATGAATCGCAAATGATCTTGAACTTGCGCGCAATTACTATTTGCCTTGTAAACGACTCCAAATTAATGTCATTAACATATAAAAATTCACCAGTCATCGTCCAAATTCTTTATTAGAATAGCGAACCGCAATAACAGCTTACGTCTCCAAAAACCTGCAGTAGCCTACTCCAACAAGAAAAAGTGCGTACGTCTGCTCAGACCCTGACCATTTATCATTTGTCAAATAATTCACAGCCACGTCAAAGGCAGTTTTAAGCGCACGCACACTCTAAGATCACATCTGTGCGTATACGCACGCTTTTTATAAATGAGGCCCCAGAACTTTACAAACATGAAATTTAAAGCTTTGTGTCCATGTCTGTTATTGCGCGTTTTATGTAGCCTATTGTCATGTTGGGACAAAGCACAGTATCTGTTACAGATGAGTTTCTGTAACAGTGTGAATAAAGCAGTTTTCTTGACACAGTTGTGTGAGGAATCTAAGAAACATTTTAGAAAGAAAAACGATGAGCTGCATTATAAGCAGTGGCTCCAAATCAACCTCAACACACGAGAAATTATATAAGTACACATTCCACAGGTAGGCAAATTATTTATTAACCAGCATGCAAAAGGTTTATTAGAATAGTTTTCAACGTTCTCACAGTATTTCTAGTATTTAAGGATGCACAATATATCAGCCATTAATATATTTAATTGTTTCCACCTCTTTTAAGATTTAGATCTTCATTTAGTGCTATTCTACAGGGATAATGATAGGTCATGGCCAGTTTTAACGAAGTGAAGTTTGTTTTGAGATACATTTTACCTGGCATGTAGAAAAAATACACTGACATGCAAAAAAAAACAAAAATTCTCATCACTTTTGTCATGTACATCTGAATTTTATGTTTCTTTAGATCTTCATGATCTTCAGTGGAGGCACAGTTGTGCAGTTGAACGTCACTCTAATGGTTCAGTAATAGTTCTTCAAGGCACTGATGAATACGCCTATGATGGCTAGACCTTGACTTTTGACCTCTTTTTGCACCGGAAACCTTTAGTCCTTAATGGCATCATCTGGAAAAGAGAATCAGTTTCCACCCTGGAGAGCAAATGTGTGGAAACGTTAACCAGCTTCATTGTCCTTCAACAAGAGTTCGTCATGGCAGGTGAGTTTATATATCTTTGATTAAAACCATGCAATATTAGATAGGCATCTGAATATTCAAAAGAACTCTTACCATGTATAAAATTCAGATGCGTTTATGCCGGTATTATATGTGAAAAATAATTACAAAACATATTTACCCAGCCCAAGAAGATGGGTAAAAAAAACAAAAAACATTAGAATCAGATCATATAAGCTAGTACACATAGACAACAACAACAACACACAGATAATAAAAAAATAAAGATATGTGAATAAAATACATGTGTAAGTGCTGTCAATCGATTTAAAAAAAAAAACGATTAAAACAATTTACTACCTTTCACTGGTGTAAAAGCATGCAAGGTCTAGAATGAGCTGCAAAGTAGACCTGACTGATAGCTACATGAGACTACATCAGTGATCTATCATCATCTCAATCACTTGGTTGAATGTTGTCTGTTTTGCAGGTCATACTGAAGTTTACTTTTCTGTAAAAGTGTCCGGATCATCAGACAAGCCGGTTCTGGAGTGTTTGGCCACGGGTTCTACCCTAAACATGTGCAGATGGAGATCAGACACAGTTACCTGATGAGCTGCTGAACACATGTAACCCCTCTCTCCCGGGTCCTCACCGCCACACCTCGTTCTTGTTCCGAGTGGGTCTCGAACCCGGGTCTCCAGCATGGGAGGCGGACGCACTAACAAGGAGGCTAAAGACTGCAGCCACTAGCGTGCCTCTTGAGATCAGGGGAGTGAGGTTTACCTGCACAGCACCTACCACTGGCCTCCATTACACTCACCCCCCTAAACCTCACTCCCATCCGGGTCACGGCACCAATGTAATCCCAGGTCCTCACCGCCACACCTCGTTCTTGTTCCGAGTGGGTCTCGAACCCGGGTCTCCGGCATGGGAGGCGGACGCACTAACAAGGAGGCTAAAGACTGCAGCCACTAGCGTGTCTCTTGAGATCAGGGGAGTGAGGTTTACCTGCACAGCAC